CGTGTTCTGACTCCGGGGCCCGCTGCTCAGGGCTGCGCCCTAGGCCGGCCGGGGACACAGGGCCTGCCTCTTCCCTCACCCTCGCCGGAAGCTGGTTGTTTAAACAGGATTTAAATTTTTCCTACATTTCTCACTATAAGCCTCAAATCATCGATTTCCTGCCTCACGCGTTTGAGGGCAGAGGAGACCTGATTCCCCCTTACCACGCCCCCCGCTGTGGTTCTGCAGTGATGGCCACGCAGCGGGGTGCGGCCGTCCGGACCCCCGTGACTCTGGCTTCATCTTACAAGGGGCGCTGAGGGGGCTTCCTTACGTTGGGATAAGAGTGGGGTCATCTGTTCGCTTGTCCAATGGGACTGTGTGTTCCTGCGTCAGAATATGACTGGAATTTGCAGGTTTGATGGTAACCCCCAAAATTGACTAGGGGACTGCCGTATTATACCAAAGATCAAACAAATGTATTATTTTAGTCATTCATTTTATTTTTATTTTACGTGTCGCTAAGCCAGGATTCCTTTCAAAGGGTACAAATCAAAAACTGAGGCTTGTTAACATGGCAGGTGTGGTGACAGCTCACCCTCTGACATGTGGGTGTTGACACCCCGTGGTACCCCAATGGCTTTTTTTTTAAGTAACGATTAGTAAATGGTTACCAAAGTTCTACCTGCCTGATTCATAACTGTGTTCCAGCATCTTAGCATATTAGGGAATTACATACATGGATGGAGATTTAAGTTGTCACCTGAACTAAGGACATGATTTTGTCACAGCAGATTGGAGACATAAAAACGGCTGAAAAGTATTTTCAAGACGTAGAGAAAGTGACACAGAAATTGGATGGACTACAGGGTAAAATAATGGTTTTAATGAACAGGTATGTATTTTTCTTTCTTCATTTTGTCTTTCCTTCCAGTTCCATTGCTCTGTAACTGACTTAGAGCGCTAAGTAAGCGCAAGGTGTACGGCGTAATGATTTGATTCACATGCATCACGGCAGGTTTAGTGAGCATCCATCTCTTACAGATACAAAATTAAACAGAACTCACTCCCAGCCAGTTTCATGTGAGGTTTCAAACACTGTACTGCCTGTATCTGTCATGTTGGGCGCTGCATCCCTCCTACTTACTTGTAACTGGAAGTTTGTACCTTCTGACCGCCTTCACCCAGTTCCCCCTCACCCCGCTCCTCCACGGTAACCTCAGATCTGGTCTCTTGTTCTGAGTTTGTCTTTTGAAGTATAACCGACCTGCAGTCCTGTGTTAGTTCCTGTTACACAACATAGTGATTCTGGTTTGTCGATAGCTTTGAAACTGACCACCACCACGAGTCTAGTCATGACCTGCTCTGTCAGCGTGCGGACACCACCTGGTCACTGACTGCATCCCGTCCCGGTGGCCCACGTACGCTGTAACGGGAAGTTTGTACCTTCATCTCCCTTGCCCGTTTCTCTGCCCCCCCCGCCCCTCCCCTCTGGAAACCGCCCGTTTGTTCTCTGTGTCGGTACCTGTTGCTGTTTCGCGCCTTCCTCATCCAGTCCTGTCGACGGCCACTCAGGCTGCTTCCGTGTCTTGGCTGCTGTAAGTAGTGCTGCCGTGAGCCTGGAGGTTCACGTGTGTCTTTTCTCATTAGTGTTTTTGTTCTCTTTGGATAAACACCCAGCAGTGGGGATTGCTGAATCTTACGGTAGTTCTGTTTTTAGTTTTTTGAGGAATCTTCATGCTGTTTTCCATAGTGGCTGCACCAGATTACATGCCCACCAGCAGTGTGGGAGGGCTCCCTTTTCTCCACACCCTCGACACTTGTCATTTGTAGACTTTCTGATGGCAGCCGTTCTGACAGGTGTGAGGTGGTGTCTCATTGTGGTTTTGATCTGCATTCTGATGATCAGTGATGTTGAGCATCTTTTTCTGTGCCTGTGGGACATCTGTGTGTCTTCCTTGGAAAAATGTCTATTCAGATCCTCTGCCCATTTTTAATCAGGTTGCTTGGTTTTTTTGATGTTGAGTTGTAGTAGTGTTTTGTGTACTTTGAATATTAATCCTTTATCACATAGATTGTTTGCAAATGTCTTCTCCCATCCAGCAGGCCGCCTTTTGTTTTGTTGGTGGTTTCCTTCCCCGTGCAAAAGCCTTTTAGTTTGCTGTAGTCCCAGTTGTTTATTTTTGCTTTTGTTTCCTTTGCCTGAGGAGACAGATCCAAAAATACATTACTAAGACTGATGTCAAAGAGCACTGCCTGTGTTTTCTTCCAGAAGTTTTATGGTTTCAGGTCTTATATTTAAGCCTTGAATTTATTTCTGTGCATGGTGTGAGAGAATAGTCCAGTTTCATTCTTTTGCATGTAGTTGTCCAGTTTTCCTGACACCATTTATTGAAGAGTCTGTCTTTTCTCCATTGTATTCTTGCCTCCTCTGTCATAGATAAGTTGACCATAATAAATGTGGGTTAATTTCTGGGCTCTCTGTTCTGTTCCATTGATCCACGTGTCTGTGTTTGTGCCAGTGCCATGCTGTTTTGATGACTGTACCTTTGTAGTAGTCTGAAGTCAGGAAATGTGAGGCCTCCAGCTGTGTTCTTTTTTCTGAAAATTGTTTTGGCTATTCAGGGTCTTTTGTGTTGCCATACAAATTGTAAAAATTTTTGCTCTAGCTCGGTGAAGTGTCGTTGGTGTTCTGACAGGGACTACACTCAGTCTGTGTATTGTCTTGGGCAGCACAGCCATTTTAACAATGTTGGTTCTTCCAGTCCATGAACGTGGCGCATCTTCCCGTCTGTTTGTATGAAGTGTCAGTTTCCTCAACATGATATAGTTTCCGGGTCTTTTTCCTTCTTGGGTGGGTTACCCCTAGGTGTTGCATTCCTTTGATGTGATGGTAAATGGGACTGCTCATTACGCCTTCTGGTAGGTTCACTGTTAGTGTACAGAAAGGCAGCAGGTTTCCATATTTGTATTTTGTATTTGAAACTGGATGGACTACAAGGTAAAATAATGGTTTTAATGAACAAGTATGACTTTTTACTTGAATATTTTCTCAAGTTTCCCATAAGTTTTAAACTCTGACCGTGCGGCACAGCCTGCTGGGGAGAGGGTCCCTTCTGCGTGCAGTGCTGGGTCTCCCCGGGCCAAGGCTGAGCAAGTCAGGGGACCCAGAAGTGTGCTTCCCAGACTTGCAGTGGGATTCCTTTAGTCATAAAAGCTGATTTTAAGAATTTTTCCCCTGATTTTTCATAGTACTTCTTTATATTGCCCCCATTTCAACCTGAATTTGTGTTAAGTTTTTCCCTCTAGTGCAACTGCCATTGTAACTCCCATGTCTTGTGTCTGTGATTGGCTTTTATGAGTAAAATAAGCCGTATAAAGCGAGGCCTGTGCGGGTTTGCGTTCATCAGCCCAGCGCTCCCTGCATGGATGATGCTCTCTCCAGCACAGTAAGGACAGAAGGCGGGGAGGGGTAGCTCAGTGGTGCAGTGCCTGCCTAGCGTGCACGAGGTCCCAGGTTCAATCCCCAGTATCTCCATTAAAAAAAAATAAACCTAATTACCTCCAACCACAAAACAAAAAACAAAAATAAAATAAAAATTGGGTTGTCTTTAAAAAACAGAAGGGGTAGGAAAGAGCAGAAAGTGATTTAGGTGATGTTACCGTGTCTAGATTAATGAAAGTTAGGCCCGCGGTACCTTGCGGCCCACGTCACACGATGTGCCCCGCTGTGGCTGGACAGCACCGCCCCTCCGCGGGTGGTTCCGGGGGCTGCCCCGCCGGTGTTGCTGGCGCACCCACGTCCTGACTTTCCCGGTTAATCCTTTACCTGTCACTCATTTCCAGAGCTTTCCTTCACCTCGGTCAGAATAACTTTGCCGAAGCCCACAGATTCTTCACAGAAATTCTAAGGATCGAACCAACAAATGCAGTGGTAAGATGGAGCGATGTGGGCTCACCTGCAGCCCTCCCCAGGTCCGCCGGCACTGGCACCTTCACAGGGCATCAGGGAGGTGTCCGGGACCCGCGCCGCCCCCAGTGCCGTGCCCCGCGTCGTGGTACCTGGGGCCCGGGCCCACAGTCATAATACGTGCCACCCGCCTGACGCTGTGTGTCCCTTCTCCAGGCCAACAACAACGCCGCCGTGTGCCTGCTGTACCTGGGCAGACTCAAGGCCTCGCTGCGGCAGCTGGAGGCCATGGTGCAGCAGGACCCCCGGCACTACCTGCACGAGAGCGTGCTCTTCAACCTGACCACCATGTACGAGCTGGAGTCGTCCCGCAGCCTGCAGAAGAAGCAGGCCCTGCTCGAGGCGGTGGCCAGCAAGGAGGGGGACTGCTTCAACACGCAGTGCCTCAAGCTGGCCTAGGGCTCCAGCCTGTGCGCGCAGACACCGGCGCTAACGTGTGACCCAATAAAAGCTCCCCCACCCGTGTCTGCGAGCGCGTCTTGAGAAGGCCGCGGCAGTCGGGCAGTTTGCCCGTGGGGTGAACACAGCATGGGGGAGGGCATCTCCCATGGAGAAGTCTGGGACGCTTCGGGCCCTCCTGTTTACGCCAGGAAGCCGGTCTGCTTCATGGACTAATTCTGAACGTCCTCAGAGAAGCACTGAGCAAGGACACAGACAGCACTCTCGCTCGGTGCCTGGATGTTCTGGAGGAGGAACACCTTAGGCCCCACCCATCCTCCTCCTGCACCCCACAGCTGACTGCATCCCTTCTGCTGCCCCGGTCCTTCTCCAGCCTGTGCCGACACCGTGGACCAGCCTGGTGGGGGTGGGGGGGATTGCACATCACAGGGAGCCGGGCTGGGTTAGGGTGGGGGGTGCATCTGAGGCAGTCGGGAACAAAGGGTCTCCTAGTGCACAAAACAGGGTGAGCATTGAAAGTGGGTGCAAGCAGTGTTTCCGAAACATGGCCTCCACACCCTGCTTACTGAACTGAGACTTGAGGACAGTTTTGGATGAAGTAGAAAGGCAGCGTCATTTCTTTGCCAGGTAGAGGAGGTCACAGTGGGCTGAGACTGTGAGCCTTGTGGGGAGAGAAGGCAGGGGGTTTATAGCAAAAGTTTAAGGGTTCAAGGGGCAGAGCTGGTTTCCATAGAGATCACACACAGGGTAACAAGTTGTTGCAAAGTTGTTCTTGTTTTTGCAGATGCAGGGGTCCCCTTCCTCCTGCAGGGTGTGAAGTTCACCTCCTGCTTTAGGACTCTTAATATTCTTCTGCTTGGAACAAAGGATGCACAGGGAGAGGCTCTATGGAAAATAGCTCTAGAGAAGAACTTGTGCATCTAAAGTCAGGTTGATAAATGCTTTTAGCCTTTTAGGCAGCTGAGGCCGGGGACCTCCTACTGTAGGCTGAGGCCTGCAGCCAGAACAGGACACAAGGAAACCACAAGGGGTCAGGAGCAAGGACACTGAGCATGACCCCTGCACACAGCACCATGAGGGGGTTGGGTGGACCACCCTGTCCTCCGTCCTCTCCAGCCCAGCCTGGTCGGCAAGAGCCTGAGAACAACCCTGTAACCATGACACAGCCAAGCAGGTACAGACACCACTGCAGATGTCAGGTCATCAGTGACAGCAGGGTCCTGCTCGGTTACAGCAGGGCCAAGAGGTGGTCCAAACGGGGTGGGGGTTGTTCTCATATCTGAATGTCAGGGCATCTGCTTTCATATTTACATGGTCACTCACCCCTGCTTTTAAAACATCTAACGTCCCTGACAATTTCTTCACTCTATTAAAGGACGTCTGGCAAGGGCCCTTTAAATACCCATCTCACCTCACCACACATCCTCCACGGCCTGGAAGCGGTCCCCTGACCCCCAGCCCACTGGGCGCCGGGTCCTCACTCTGGGGCCTTCAGTAAATGACCAAGGACACACGTGGTGGCGCCTGCTGGGCCCCTCTCCGGGCAGGCGGAGGGCTAAACCACACTCGTGCCCCTGGGAACACACACGGGGGACTGTCAACATGCCAGAAGGCGGAGCAGCGCCTCCCCCGCGCGGGGCCGAGCGGACGGGCTGCTTGTGAAGGCGCGCTCGGCAGCACCCGTAGCGGTTTCACCGGTGTTGCACTCACTGAGGCCGAAACTGTCGCCCGTTCAGAAGCCGACCTGCTTTCTCATGTTTCTCCTGTTGCGGGAAAACCACCCAGGCTCAGCTTTCTCAAACCTGGGCACCTGCTGTTCAATGCTATTTCAGCTTGTTCTCCGCGTTTCATTAGGGGACACAAGCTCTGTTCAGGTAGAGCTGTGGGGCCTGGACAAGAGGTGCCAGCCCCCCCAGCAAGAGGCTGGAGCCCGCCCTGCCCGGAAAGAGCGGAACTCAGCCGGGGCCACGCAGCCCTCCTCCTGCTCAGGTGAGTCCCCCCAGGTCTCTCGGGCCACCTCCATGAAGTCCCGCGAGTGGAGGAATGAGCATGGCCCCACACCCCCATCGGGCTGAGCTAGACACCAGGCAGGAGGCCGGGCTGTGCCCATCCAGCTCCAGCCCAGGGCCTCTCGGGTCCCTGAGATGGGTGAGCCTCGTCAGAACACACGCTCAGAGCTGGCCTGTAGGCAAGGAAAGATGCGGCATTTCTGGAAAAGAAATTGGCAATTGAGTCAAAAAACTTTATTTACAATAGTAAAATACTGAAAAATTGGAGAGTGGTTTCATTAATTAATTGCCACATATTCCTGAAAGGAGTTTATGCAGTATTAAGATCATATTATTTAAAATACTAAGATTGTATTGTTTAAAAAGTTAATGACATGGAAAAATACTCAAAAGAAATGTGTGTTTACATAAATAATTGCAAAAATAAACTTTACTAGAAAGGGCTGAAAAGTAGTATTAAGTGTTAACTAGTCACAGGACGGATGGGCATAAAAGGGCATTTTAATTTTCCCTTCTATGACTCTGAACTTCAGATTTTTCCACATAATGAGTATGTGTGTATTTTGTATGTGTGTATTTTGTTTTTATAACCAAAGGAAATCATCATCAAAATTGGTAAGTGTTTTGCCTTTAAAAGATATAGTAACTTAAAAATCATAGTGAAAGTGTGACGTGCTCTGTAATTTAATGATATATATATACAGCGATTAAGAGGAATGAGCTGCACATATTAATGCAGGCATATGTAAAAGCTTCTGGAATAGTTAGGGTTATATATACAATGAAGCGCCATTTATATTAAAGGTACAGGAGTATATACATTTGTAGATGCATGTTTGCAGAACTGGGTGAAGACAGGTGTGGGGACCGCGGGCGCATCAGAGTGACGTCCCCGCGGAGTGAGGAAGGGGGTCCTGGGAGACTCACTGTGTCCACAGGGCTAGTCTTCTTTTCAGAATGGTGTTTTTATATTATCCTTAAGTTTTACCTCAATTTCTGGAAGTACAAAGTGACTGAGGACGAGTTTAGGACGGTTCCCACCACCGGGCTGGCTAGAACACTGGCTCTGCTGGCCTCCCGGCCAAGTTTCTGTGCCACAGAAGTGAGACAGTCCCTCCCAGACCTGCGTCAGGACACAGGGACTCTCAGGGGTGCGTGCCCCCTGGGGCCTCACCGGCTGCGGGGAGCAGCGCTGACACCGTGGGCGAGGCCTGGCTGGCCGGCCAAGGACAGTGCAGGGCGCACAGACCACCCTGCCTCTCGTGGGCTCGGGTCACCACACCCGGTCCGCACAGCCGACCCTCCAGGCGGAGGCCGTCATCACTCTCAGGAGGTGCGTAAGGACCACGGACAGCGCCAAGGGCCAGGGCAGCCCCGAGCTGTGCACCGTGGCCCAGCGCCCACAGCCACCCACACGGGGCACCAGAGCGTGGCGGGTCCCGCGTCAGGGTGCCCCAGAGGCTGCACAGAACACGTGGTGAAAGAATCTCTCACTAGTACTGAGAGAATCTTACATTATTACCTGCTAAATCGACGTGTATGTTAGATTAAATCTATCGTTCAAATTAAGATCTTTTTTAAAACTTTATCGTGGCTCCTAGAAAATTCTAAATTGCATGTGTGTCTCCTATTAAATTTTTGCTGGGCAGCACTGAACACATGTAACAAACATGTACAGAAATGAACATAATGTGAAGATTCAATCATGGAAACAGCGAGGGTCTGACAGACTGGAGAGGCCGGGTGGAGCGGTGAAGGGGCCACCCGCCACCCTGTGGGATGATTACCCAAGGAGATAAAACTTCCGGAGGGGAGGCAGGGGCAGAGAGGCCCACAGGTCCTGAGCCTTGTCCCATCTGCAGGAGAAAGAAGCAGAGAGCAAGGAAGAGGATGCAGGGGGATACCTCTCACAGGCAGGGCCCCTGTGGGAGTGGGGCAGTCCCTCCTTCCCGCCCTCACCTGCAGAAGGGGGCCAGCCCCTCCCTTCCCCAAGCTCCCACTGGCCCAGGAAGGGGGGCCCCCTCCCTCTGGGAGGTGGGGGTGGGCACGGAGGGCCCGCACTTCCTCCTTCACCAACGCAGGGTCAAGTGGTACCCGCTCCCGTCCCCCCTCCTTCCTGCCAGCTGCTCCCAGGTGAAGCTCTAGGGCCAGACAGGAGGTAAACCTGGCCTGTGGCCCCATGCTGTCCGGCCCTGCTTGCCGGTGACCAAGTGACCTCCTGGGCTCTAGGCCAGCTTCTCGTGTGTAAAATGTGGGTACCACACCTGTGTGAGATCACACAGGCTCGTGCGTGTGCTATTCACGAGCTGGGCATTTATGAGCAAATCAGGTATATACACACACACCAATTCCCCCACACCCATGACCCCTCCCAGAAGACGGAGTCAACCTTTCCAGTTACTGTCGATCAGGGAGCGCCTCGGACTGTTAGGGACCCTCACGCAGGGTCGTGCTGGGGTGTGGGCACCGTCCCCACAGTGAGCCCCCCTAGTTACTGCAGAAGAGCACGGAGTTTGGCGGTTCTGGGCAGGGCGGGAGAGGGAGCAGGGGAGACTCGCTTCAGCAGGGAAGACGCCAGGACAGCCCACGAAGGACACCCTGGGAAGACCACGCGGATATGGGCCAGAAGACAACACTCGGGCACCCAGAGGGTGACTGTGATCCCGGGGTGGCCACGTGTGGCCGGACAGCAGAGTGGACGCCGGCCACCAGTCAGGAGGCCTCCACTAAGGATTCTGTAGTTAGGACGTGACCTAGGTGCCCCTGTGCTGCAGGGCCCGGGGCCGGGGGCCGGGGGCAGTGAAGGGTGCAGAGACAGAGACGTCCCTGGAGCAGAACCGCAAGGCCAGGCGGCCACGGGGAAAGGGCTGAGAGGCGGGCCAACCACCAGACGACAGCCCAGGGCCCCTGGGAGCGCCCAGGCCCACCTCCTGCCCCCGTAGGTGTGCCGGGTCCCCCGTAAGCCGCACCCCCACCACAAGATAAACACCCAGCCCGGGGCCCACCCTTCCCCCGCCGGCCTGGGGCCCTGGGTGGGCACTGAGCCCTCGGAGCCGCGGGGCTCTCGTTTGAAGAATGGGGAACAAGACTGTTAGTTTTCTGAAGCCGCTGTAGCAGCTGCAAACCACTGAGGTCTCCTGTCTCACGCTCAGGCCGGACGTCTGAACCTCGGCGTCTGCAGGGTCTCACGGCCGCAACCCCCGCCTGGGTCCTCACAGAGCATCGCCGGTGTCTCTCCCTCTTAGAAGGACACCGGACCTCAGGCTCAGGGCCCGCCCTCGCCCAGGATGATCTCAGTGAGAGCCTCATCCAGTCACATCAGCAGAGCGCCCACTCCCAGATAAGGGCACATTCTGAGGTGCCAGCGGACGTGCAGTTTCGGTGATTAGTATTCAACCCATGACACCTGCTGATAGCATCCACGTGGGTCAGAGCGGACTGCTTAAATAGCAAGAAACAACCAACCAGCCTCTCGTGCTTTTGGGTCCTAGCGGACGCCGCCCCCACCCCACCCCCACCGACTACCTCTACAGATGGTGGCGGCGGGGGGGGGGGCGGCAGCGTGGGACAGACCTCCAAGGAGCGCCTCCGG